ACACAATCGATCTATGTTTTTTAATTGCCAAATTATAGGTAAAAAAAAAAAAAAAAAAAAAAAAAAAGCAAAAAACAAAAAACAACAACAACAACAAAAATGACAATCTTCATACTATGGACCAGGGTTCACAATGTACTGTGGACCTTATTTCATATATATGTCTTTTGTTGTGAGTTTTTTGTTTTGTTTTTTTGTGTTGTGAAATTTTGTACCTGAAACGAATTAGTAATTATGTCTTATATTATGAATTTATGTATCTTGTATTGTGAAATTTTGTGCCTATAAACACAGATTATATACATAATTAGATTTGAAAAATATGTTAGTAAATATATAACATATGTATATATGTCTTGTCTTGTGATTTTTCGTGTCTTTTGTTATGAAATTTTGTATCTTACAAGTATGAATTCTGTACGTCGTCGTTTCGATTTAGAGTCCATAATGCTATGTAGACCATAATCCATGATATAAATTGCCCAGAAAAGACTAACCCGAGTCATCCTCATCCTTGCCACCATTTGTTTATCGCCTTTTTTCTTGCCCACTGCTTCTTGTTTTTTTTTTTTGTTTTTTTTTTTTTCACTGCTTCTCGCCATCTCTTTGCGTTTGATTTGGGACAGAGGAAATGGGTAGAGATTTGCTTTTAAATGAGCTGTGGGTTTGACATTTAATAATAATAATAATAATAATAATAATAATAATAATAATAATAATAAAATAATAATAATAATAATAATAATAATAATAATAAATAATAATAATAATAATAATAATAATAAAATAATAATAATAATAATAATAATAATAATAATAATAATAATAATAATAATAATAATAATAATAATAATAATAATAATAATAAATAATAATAATAATAATAATAATAATAATAATAATAATAATAATAATAATAATAATAATAATAATAATAATAATAATAATAATAAAAAAAAAAAAAAAAAATAATAATAATAATAATAATAAAATAATAATAATAATAATAATAATAAATAATAATAATAATTAATAATAATATAATAATAATAATAATAATAATAATAATAATAATAATAATAATAATAATAATAATAATAATAATAATAATAATAATAATAATAATAATAATAATAATAATAATAATAATCAATAATAATAATAATAATAATAATAATAATAATAATAATAATAATAATAATAATAATAATAATAATAATAATAATAATAATAATAATAATAATAATAATAATAATAATAATAATAATAATAATAATAATAATAATAATAATAATAATAATAATAATAAATAATAATAATAATAATAATAATAATAATAATAATAATAATAATAATAATAATAATAATAATAATAATAATAATAATAATAATAATAATAATAATAATAATAATAATAATAATAATAATAATAAATAATAATAATAATAATAATAATAATAATAATAATAATAATAATAATAATAATAATAATAATAATAATAATAATAATAATAATAATAATAATAATAATAATAATAATAATAATAATAATAATAATAATAATAATAATAATAATAATAATAATAATAATAATAATAATAATAATAATAATAATAATAATAAAAAAAAAAAAAAAAAAAAAAAAATAATAATAATAATAATAATAAAATAATAATAATAATAATAATAATAATAATAATAATAATAATAATAATAATAATAATAATAATAATAATAATAATAATAATAATAATAATAATAATAATAATAATAATAATAATAATAATAATAATAAATAATAATAATAATAATAATAATAATAATAATAATAATAATAATAATAATAATAATAATAATAATAATAATAATAATAATAATAATAATAAATAATAATAATAATAATAATAATAATAATAATAATAATAATAATAATAATAATAATAATAATAATAATAATAATAATAATAATAATAATAATAATAATAATAATAATAATAAATAATAATAATAATAATAATAATAATAATAATAATAATAATAATAATAATAATAATAATAATAATAATAATAATAATAATAATAATAATAATAATAATAATAATAATAATAATAATAATAATAATAATAATAATAATAATAGACTCTTTTACCAGGACTATGTGGTTTAATGGTACCCGGGTTGGACTTCCATTTGGAAGATTATGAGTTCGAGCCTCAGTGGAGGCGTTATTGGTTCTTTGTGTTTCAGCAGATTGAGAAAGTATATGAACAGATACTACAATGTAATAGGACCAGTAACTTTCAAAAAAAAAAAAAAAGACTCTTTTATACATGCGTTATGTTAAGGAGTTCTATGCAGTAGGCAGACGTTTTACCGAGTAAATTAAAACCGAGTAAATTAAAAGCTTAACTCCGGGGGTGCAATCTATATTGAATTTGGATTAATTTTATAAGCGTGGGATATCAGAAGATGCTATAAGTATCTATATATTTGTTCGTATGGGCAGCTTAACTGGTCATAGAGGTGAAGTTTGGAAAGAATATATATATATATATATATATATATATATATATATATATATATATATATTTGGTTCAATAAACTCTAATTAATTAGGCCCAAGAAGAATAGTATAGTATAAATCAAACAACTTGCACTGACCCAGATCCATTAGCATGCATTTGGCAAATTATACCATGCACCAAGGCGCACACTGCATTTTGTGTCCTGGTCAAAATAACGTCATTTTGTATCTGTTTTTTTTTTTTTTTTTTTTTTTTTTTTTTTTTTAATTTTGTTTCCCGTTTCTGCCGTTAACCTCTAAAAAAGAAAACTTATGTTTCGAATGTACATAATTGTATAGTAGAATACACATAAACTCATAACATGATATATATAATCTAACATAATACACATAAACTCTTAACATAAAAACGGAGTCGTTTTGGGCTGGACGTACAATGTATTGTGTGCCCTGGTGTACGATATAACAATTGCTTGCATTTCACCTACATTGGAATGAATCTAGTTAAGGCCCAATAGGCAATAGCCAGGATCTTTAACCATTTGTCAGATTTCAACACAACATTTTCTTTAAAAGTAAATTTGAATTTGATTTTATTATTTGAAAGAGTGTAATTTACTATCAAATTATCCATGCTTCAAGTAATCACTGTATTTGCATTGAAAGGGTGACTGATCGAGTGGGTAAGCATAATTATCATATTAGAATGTCACGAATTTAATTAATTCTTACAAATTAAATTCCTCGAACACACAAAGTCTCCCTAATACAATTTAAATCTCATTTATGATTTGAGAACTATTACATAAGAATTAAGTTTATCCATCACACTATTACAATTTGATAGTGACTTACAATATGACACATATAAGTTCATGGTTTTTTTCCTTTCATATTTTTATGTAAATTAAAGTCCTTTTTGACAACCATATTGAATGCATTAATGAACCCATAACCCAATATGTTTAAACAATTGGTTAGCAATGTATTAATTTAACTGCAAAGTCAGATAATCAATTTTTATTTATGTGCATCATGTTAAAAAGCTATGCATCATTCATGAGTAATAAGTTAAGAGGTAAAGATTAGTACGTTTTCTAGATACTAAAAATTATTATAGTTTAAATAAATAAGGCACTTTGTTGTTATAAGTGAATTTATTTTATTTATTTATTTTTGGGTAAAATGTGGTTAGGATCATCACTTTAAACCAATGCAAGATGATTGCAAATCAATTTTCAAATTTTACTTAGTTAAGGCTTCCACCATCACCATAATGGCAAAGCACATAGTGTCGATTTTAGATATTCAACTGTATTGAGCTTTGACTATTTCGACAGTTACTTAGATACAGTTACACCGTATCTAGTGTTGGTATCTCAAACTGTCACAATATCGTCAAGTATCAATTATAACTGAATCTAGATATCAAATAAATCAACACTAGGAACCCATATTTTTTGAAGTGAACCTAGATAACTATTAGAAAATGGATCTACTTAGTTGTGATGATGAAGAAAACTCTATACTAGCAAGGATAAAGCATAGGGAAAGATTAGAAGTAAAGACAGGAGAGTGATGAATTACTAGCTTAGGATGCGACACTATGCAATTTAATTTTATTGCAAAATACATTTTTCCTTCCCAAAGAAAACAAAAAAAGAATCTCGAACCATATATATACAAAAATACAAGACATGATCGAGGAAAAGACTAAGAGATGTATGTTGAAGATTCAATTCCTAGATTAATGCAGACGATGATGAATAACTAGAATGAAGCTTCAATGTAACCCCTCGGAGTATCCCATAAAGTGGACAAGAATCACATTTACAGACATTAGGGGGTGCCATTTTAGGGGTTCGTTTATATTAATTACTATGAAATGGGGAAAAACCTAAGATTGTATGTTACTAGTATGGTTTTTAGTTGTTCAAGAAATTCGTCAGGATGAAACAATACTTATTATTGCCCCAAAAGCTATTTTTTATACTTGCCTAACAATCAACATTATATTTTGATAATAATAGGCTGGATTTGACTCTCCAAGTCACTGCCCAACAATCTGCCAACCTCAAATGTACAACGACATGCAAAACATTCAAAAGCATGACATACTCTGATACCAATTGTCCGATCAAACACTTATAGTTACGCCAAAAAACTATAGCTAATAGTAAATTCGTAATTTTATTTCTTTATACTTGTAGTCAGTCGTCACGTTTCAATGGCGTGAAGCTGCAGCCCAACAAACTTAGCCATAAATGAAGAACAATAATCCAATGAAGATAATGTTATTGAAGCAAAAGAGTAACAAATCTTTAGACTTCCCCAGAACGAACATACCCCTTATTCTCTAGCTACCACTTGAAAAACATGTTTCTTAACTCTTCATTCCCAGAACATGCATCCTTTTTATATGTATATATTAGCAGAATATAATAACGTTGTTGTGTTGTGACTTGAAGATTTACTTTACCGGTATTTGTGACGTCCTAAACGGAGTTCCAAATCCACCTCAGTTTCCTCCTCGTCATCATCAGATTCTTCCTTTCTCCCTTCATCTTCGTCGTCGTCTTCCATGTTTGAAGGACCCACTCTCAGGCTAAGATCATTAGCACCCATGAAATCTCCGTACGTCCTCGTATGATGATAATAAACTTGTTGGTAGCTAGGGTTTGACGGCGGCGAGTAATTAAACTGGTGGTAAGGCGGCGGCGCCGCCTTTGTATCTGTATAAGAATAACAGTGGTGCTGCTTTGTTGAATGAGATTGTTCTTGATGATGATGATGATGATGATGATGAGAGATGTTATTGTTCTGCTTGGCGGCCTTCAATTTGTCCTTTCTATGGATGTTCATGTGGCCGCCGAGAGCCTGAGCGTTAGTGAAGCCACGCTTGCAGAAAGCGCACTCGTAGGACCGGCCGACACCCGCGTTGTCATCTTCCGGCCGGTGGTCGGAATCCTCGCTCGACGTGTCCGAGGTGTTGTCGACTTCCATGTTGAGATGCGGGCTCCTACAAGGGATGGAGTGATATAATTTCTAGGTTGAATTGGGCATAGGATAACAACAACAACAAGAGGGAGCTGATCTGAGCAAAGTTGAAGGAGATTATTATTTGTGGGTTTTTTTTGGGGGGGAAATTAAGGGAAGAGAAAGAGACAGGGATCGGAGGCCATAGGATTTAACACTTTGTCAATGTACATTTTTAGTATATATGTCAGGCCAACTCATGATTATATCATCAACTCTTCAAAATATTATGTAGTAATATCTAAGTTAGTTTAAGAGGTTTAGTACTAGTTCTTTTCTTTGCGTTTGAGTACCTATCATGTTTGGCAATAATTATCATTCAAAAAGGCTTGTTGCATAAGCAATTCAGTTGGTTCTTGAGTGGTAAATTATGGATAATTAAAAGTACAAGATTAACCATCGCAGTGGGCTCTTTATAGCACCTGACACCGAGCTGAGCTGATCTGAGTCCGCCATTACATTTTCGAGAGGCAGGTTACTAGACCTTTACTGACCTCCGGCTAACAATCTTCTTAGCCACCAGCCTCCCATTAATGGATTTGGCCCATTACTGGCCTCCGCCCAACAATTCCCTCGATGATATCACTTGTTAAATCAAGTGCTTACAGGCTATCACACGGAGAAACAATTCCCTCAGGAGAGATGTGAGAAATCCCGAAAAATCCGTCAATAAATGACGAACCCTCTTCGTCTTATAGGCGGTTAACAGATGAAAGTTAGTTTGGAACGACCAACTTCACGCCACTACGCCAAAAGCTATAACCCCGAATGTGCAACTTTAATTTACCGACCACCGCCCAACACTATATTTTACCATTCAGTATTCTGTGGGAGCAAGAAAATTTCACCTTTTATGCCCATGATAAACATACATTTGTTCAAAAGATGGTGTTGATGATGATATAATCTTGGGATTTTCTTGATGTATTTAACTATCATCCTGCCGGCTTGGCGACGTTGCCTGCGTAAGGGAAGCGACCACACGTGCTGTGACCATAGACTTGTCTTCATCCAGTTAACGGTTAGTTTGTGTAAACAATGAATTGAAGATTCATTATATTATCACCAAGAATCATGTGGTTAAGTTTGTTCTTGAATTGATTTCTTTATGGGATCGCATTGAGGTTTTAGATTCATGTCCTGCCATATATATTGTGTTGTTGGTGGAAATGACAAAGGGTGTGTGACAAATTTTGACGTTGGATTGCGGATGTGTACAAGAATTGCAGGCATAAAACCTAGGATAGCCTGAATTTGTTTGTATAATTGAAGATAATGGAAAGCAACGTTATTTCTCTTTCACTAAATAATTGTATTCCTTAACAAGTTTGGATGAAACGACTCGTGGTTTAATTAGAAAGAGTTTTGGTCCTCTTGAGTCATGAATAAATAGTCTCGATTTTGAGTTTGGTGAACGTAACAATGTTGGAAGAAGTCTTCTAAATATAACTGACTTCACTCGTGACTTACTCTGATACCAATTGTTAAATCAAGTGCTCATCATTGCACCAAAAAGTATAGTTAATAGTGAACGTATAACTTTATTTATTTATAGTTGCGTAGCAATCAATGTCACGTTCCGATAAAAGGATTCAATAGCCCCTTCTTAGTGTTTCTTTCATTCTCTAGCCTATAACTACTATGATGCAATCTCATATATCATATCAACTCTATGCCTCCGGCGCATTGATCCATTGGATGAGAAATCAGTGCATATTGTCTGTCGGGCTTAACTCAATGATTTAGTAGACAGAGACTAAAGGTTAATTCGAATCTCGGTGGCGGCAGTGTGAGATTATGTTCAAAGTGGGCAGATCCCTTGTGCGCACGACATTTGACCATGTCTCTGTAATTTACATAATCTCAAATACTCTGTCCGACTGATGCGTGGGGAGCCCTTGAGAATTCAACATTTTAGGAGAAGAAATCAGTGCATATTGAAATTATGGTGATTGAGAGAGTTCCTTGGCATTTTGCAAACCGGCCTTAATTACGCGTTAATGACCCTTTCCTACAATGGAATTAGTGCTGCAGCCGGGATTGGGATCCTTATCCTTACTATGTATGCAATTAATCACAACAATAAAAACAATATACTTAGTACAAAGTAATAATGTGGACAAATCGAAGTAGAGCATCAATGAATGTTACACAAGTGGTCTCTTGATTAGCTGTTTCCACTGTTTTGATGACTTTTTCATCATCAATGGCTACGAAAGAATTTTCTTTGTTTAATTCATATTATCACTTGGCTCTTAGGTGATGTCTGAAGTTCTTTTTCTTAAATAACTATTTTATAGCTCAAATGATTTTTTTAAAAACATTTAATAAGATAGGAGGTCGGTCATTACATTTTATCAAAGTTATAAACTTATGTAACTCGATCACAATATCATTGAATTGGAAGGTAAGTTAAAATTTCAGGATTTTGTTTTTATATATAGTATAGATAGATTACAATAAGAATTGTATTACCCAGAATTATTGTATGAATGAGAAAATAGAAAACAATATATTTTATTAGAAAGAGAGATTTTTTAGGAATTGGGCAGGAAGTTAAAAGTTCAGGATTTTGTTTTTATATATTGTATAGATATATAGATCCCATGAAGAATAGCCCATTTTAAGCCCAAAGGCCTGGCTAATTGTGATGGGCCTTAACCCATCATAAGAATATCAAGGTTTCGACAATCCATCTTAATTTTATGATGGACCATCACCCTCCCGCGCCAAAATTTTCAAACACACATAGACGTTGATAAATACATCGAAATTATTATTATTTTTTAAAATTCTTCCCGATATCCTTGTATGTCGGAATTTGTTTATAATTTATAATATTTTTGGCAATGACTATGTTTAGTAGAATTTATTTTAGAGCCTATCAAGATTACAAAATACGCCAGGGGCTAGTCAGGCGCCAAAGGCCTGCTTAGTGCCTAGGCCGCCTAGGCGGAATACAAAAACAAAAGTCAAGATTGTGCGTTTGTGTATTGTATTTTATATATACAGACACATTAAAAAATATTACACATGAATCTAGGATTGTAAATTAATTAATTAATTAATTAATAATAATAATAACTCGGCTGATTTGGTGCCAAGTCGGTCGTGCTAGATAGGTGCCTAGTCGGCTGGCCGATTAGGTGGCACCTAGATGCTAAAGCTCCACGGTTGAGCGGCATTTAGGTGCGATTTTTACAAAACTGGAGTCTATAGGCTATAGCTTATTTGTAATTTACAAATAAGCTATAAGCTCTATTTGGTAAAACATGTAGAACTTAAAATAATAACTTATTTTGAAATACTATTTTAAGGAACATTTCAAAATAAGTTAGTAGCTACTAATTTTTAAGCTTTGCAATTTAGGTACTATGTCAAAAATAAGCTATTTTCTTGTAACACAAAAGAAAATATTAAAATACATATGGACTAAATAGCTTATATTATTAGTGAGTGCAGAAGATGGTTACGTATGGTGTGGGAAGTGCGTATGATTCATTTCCACCGGGAACAGAACAAAGTAACCGATTGGTTGACGAAGAGAGCTCTTGGTGACCTTCGAGGCTTGAGCGCGATGTCTCAACCGGAGACATCGATTCGTGGTTTGCTCCTTGATGACTCCATGGGTGTGCCCAGGCAACGTGTTTGTTATCAGTGCTAGCTTGTCGGGGTTTCCCCCTCCTTTCGATAAAAAAAAATAGTTTATATATTTACATATTATTTTACTTAAAAAATAATATACACTAGCCAAGATAGTTCGGGGCTTCAGTCAATTTATATCATGGACCAAGGTCCATATATTGAAACGACGAGGTATAGAATTCATACTCGTATAGTACAAAATTTTATAACACAAACAAGACACATACACATGTTATATATTTACGTACTTTTAAAATATGATTTATGTACATAATTTGTGTTCATAGGCAGGGAATTTCACAACACAAAACATAGAAATTCATAACATAAGACACAATTACTAATTTGTTACAAGTACATAATTCATACTCTTTTAAAGTACATAATTTCATAATACAAGACACAAAAACTCACAACATAACACACATTTCACATGCACCAGGGTCCCTATTGCACTGTGAACCATGGTCCATAGTATAAGGATCGAGATGGTTGGGTAGTTTGCTTTAGATGACAATTTGTGTTGGTCTAGAACTAGCGATTGTGGGCTTTTTCATAAATTAAAAAAAAAAAATGAAGATGTGATGAAATAAAGTTGAGTAGTGTACTTTTATAGGGTGGAAAGTGACATGGTACTAAAACAACACAAATGTAGGATATATTTGATGTGAAAACATATATAAAAACATGGCATGCAGGTGACGTTGTCATGCATGGATAATGAGAACGAATTATATTATTCATCTGATCTGTACTCTTCTCTAAGCATATATAAACATGTACATCATTTTCATGACTTTGCAATTTGCTTGGATTTATTCATCTCTTGGATTCCTCACTCCCTTTTGACCATTCTTCCATCTGCATCTATACATTTCCTTCTTTTGGTTTTCAATTTGTACTTTAGCACATATCTACGTAGGGTGTAAATCTTGTCTATGAAAATATATGGTAGTTAGTAGGGTAAATTTCATCAAAGGTAAAAGTTTGTGTTTAAACTATATATGTAGAAATAGAGATAGGTAGAAGTTTTTTTAAAAAAATTAATGATTGAAGTACAACTATGGAGTCATCCCCAGTCAAGTGAATAGAGTAATACAAGCAGATCCAAACTGCAAGAGACTGATCTGACCAGCTATTTATACCGTATCGGATTTAAATTACATATAACATGACAACATACACCTCATAAGTTATGGTTGGCAAATTACTCCTTAATTAATAGTTGACTGCTGTGGTGGTCCTGGTGGATTGATCAAGTGAACATCATACTTAGTAGGAGTGTCCATGCAGTCCGACCCACCAAATTAGGCTTGCCTTTT